AAAAAAAAAAAAAATGGAATAATCCCACGTTGTGTTAAAAGAGGAAAACAACCACGAATCCCTGAGCTACGATGAGTGAGAAATGTTTTTGAGAACATGGGTATCTGCCCTCTAGGAACATAATTGCAATGGAAATAAAAAGAAAGATAAGCCTCTGTTCTCAGTGAAGCTGGTTTGGGGCAAAACTGCAAATAATTCACGTGTAAACAGATAAAAACTGAACTTGTTACACGGGAAAAAAAAAAATCCAACTGGTAAAGGAGGGAAGCAGCTTCCTCTTGCCCTGTTCCCTGGGATAAGAGCCCAGGAAAAAAAGACCAAGCCCCTCTTGGCTCCCCCCTCCTGTCAGGGATTGCAGAGCCAGAAGGTCCCCCCTGAGCATCCTTTTCTCCAGGCTGAGCCCCCCCAGCTCCCTCAGCCCCTCCTGCTGCTCCAGCCCCTTCCCAGCTCCGTTCCCTTCCCTGCACACGCTCCAGCCCCTCAGCGTCTTGGTTGGAAGATCCCAGGTGCTTTGGGATTTCTCAGGAAGGATTATGCTGTTTAATTGTCCTGTTCCTTATCCTGAGAGTGCTTCTGAAAGGAATGTTTTCCCTCCCAGCCTGCGATCGGTGGTCGGTCCTTCCTCGCCCGGGGCTCCACCACGACGTGAACAGGTTTGGACACTCGGCTGTGCTGTACAACAGGTAAGGACAGAGACACTCCCACCTCAATAAACACCCCCCCACGGGGAACTCAGTGATGCTGAGACCAGAGGGGTGAGGATCTGGCCCAGACCTCCTTCTCCATGGAGGTTGTGGCTGTCCCTGGATCCCTGGAAGTGTCCCAGGCCAGGTTGGAGCAACCTGGGCTGGTGGAAGGTGTCCCTGCCCATGGCAGGGGGTGGAATTGGAGGGTCTTTGAGGTCCCTTCCAACCCAAACCATCCTGTGATTCTCTGAACCTCTGAAAGTTCTTTTGTAGTGTCTTCAGTATCCACCTGTGCCCATCAGCCCTTCACTGGACTAAACTCAACTCACTAAACTGTCTCAGCCCACTTACTTTGTTCAATACCTTGATTTTTTCTTCATATATCTATTCCTTTCTCCTGCTTTTATGTATATTCCTATTTCTTCTTTCTTTCTGTGTCTTCTCTATTTCATAATTGTGCGTTCCAGTTTATTTCCCATTTCTTGCTCAGGAGTTGTCAGTGCATCTGTCTCCAAACCTCCATTTGCCTCGTGGTATCTCACTTTGCTCATGTTTCAGTTTACAAACTTTCTCCCCTCAGTTTACACACCTTTATCCTGTGGGGCCCTTCTTTCCCAGCCATGTGATGTCCAGTGTTTAGGGAAAATCCTAGGTGAGGTTCCAGCTTTAAAGCTTTACCCACTGTAGTGATATCCCTGATTTCTTTCTGGCTGTAGAAGCAACTGGGAAAAATTTTATTTCACAGGAGTCCTAAAATAGGATGAAAATCATATTAAAAAATACTCATTATTCGGCCAAAGCTGGCCTTGATCCTTTCTCCACTGCCTTTTTACCTGTACCCTGACAAACCTGGGTTCACAGGGAGTTTTTGAGTGACGTTTTTATGTGACCCGTAAAACTTGATGTTTTGCCTGAGGCAGTTGTGATCCTGAAGACGGTTTAAAAACCTCACCCCTTCTTCTACAAAGCATTCTGTTGGTTTGGGCTTTGTTTGGTAGTTTGTTTTTTTTTAGCTGACACAGTGACTCTGCTCACTCGGTACCAGCCATGCAAACTGGTTTTGTGCCAGCGGAGCAGCGACAGCACCGAATTGTTTTGTCCCGGTTCCTGGACTCTGCTTTAACGGTGTGACACCATCTCCCAGAGTTTTAGTCTTCCTCCCTCTCACTTGCCACTGCAAATCCCAGGAAGATCCCAAATTTTGGGATCTCATCAGGCAGATCAGGTGCCTCCCAGAGTTTCTGGCTGGAGGGGAAGGTCGGTCCGTGACCTTGGGTGGGTTTCGAGTCTGTTGAGATTCTCCGGCTTCCCCGAAACAGCGAAATTTCACTGACCTTTTCTTTAGTGCCTCCCTTAACCAAGAGCTATTGACGTGGATTTACACCCTCTGGGATGTAATAAAACACCTTAAATCAGACCTTAAATCCCGTTCGCCCGGAGCGGCGGCGCGCGGGAACGCCCGCGAGTCCCTCCTCTCTCTCTCCCCCACCTTCCCTCTCCTCCAGCACCATGTACGTCTTCGGAGGCTTCAACAGCCTCCTGCTGAGTGACATCCTGAAGTTCACCCCCGAGAGATGCGAGGCTTTTGCCAACGAGTCGTCCTGCCTGCGGGCGGGGCCGGGCGTCAGGTGCGTGTGGGCTCCCAAACCCGCCCGCTGCGTCCCCTGGGAAAACGCCACCCTGGAGCAGCAGCAGAAGGTCTTGGAAGATTGTCCTCCCAAGCCAGGTATGTGCCACGTTCCTTCCATCCCCCTTTTCCCGGAGGTTGTTTTCCCTTTCCAAGGCCTGCCGTGTGCTGGTTGTGTGTCGTTACGAGGTCGCCGTAAATGCCCGGGAGTCCTTCCCCTGACCAGGTGTTCGTGAAATCTTTCTCCTGTCTCGCTGTTTGGACTTGCTGTTTCCATCATCATCCAGGAATCAGGCCTGGACCATCGCTGGAGATATTTGCTCCAAGAACTGACCTTTTGAGATCCAGCAGTTTGCCACGGGGCAAGGGAAGGGATCTGGATCTGGTGGGGTTGTCCTGTGCTCTTCAAGAGAGGCAGCAGGAATAACTTCAGGAGTAACTTTAGGAATCAAGTTCCTTTATCTTTAAGGTCCCTTTCAACCCAAACCCCTCTGGGATCATGTGTATAGGGACAAAATGAATGAATATTTTAAGGTCTGATTCCCGTGTTTTCCCTCAGGATAATTCTAGAACAACTTGATCCCGATGCATTCATTGCCCTGAATTGAATTTAAGGTCTGATTCCCGTGTTTTCCCCTCAGGATAATTCTAAAGCAACTTGATCCCGATGCATTCATTGCTCTGAATTGAATTATGCAGCCCTTGATTCTGTAATAGATTGTCATCCTTTAATTATTTAATAGGAATAGATGTGAGGGGACATTGCTTTGCTGGGCTCTCGATGTACAATAGATTTTCACAAACCACAGGCAACAAATAATTGGCAAGAGAGTGAAAAGTTCAAGCTTGGCATGGAAATGCTCTGCTCGAAGGCCAGGCTTGCAGGAAGATGGTGGGAAATGATCACTTGTCCTTATGGAATGTCTGAACATCCGTGTTTTTTATTTCGTGTCTTTCTGCATTTCCTGGTGTGTTTTAGGGCTCCCTGGACACCAAAAATGTCAATAAATGCAATTTTTCCACCAGTCCAAGCCCATGGAAGCCCCTGATTTTAGTTGCTAACAGCAGATGCGCCGCTGTTTGGTTGCATCTTTGGCTGCAGATAACCAAGTTCTTGGAGCTCTGTCGGGAAATGCCTGTTTTTGGTCATGCAGGTTTTTTTCTTTACTAGTTGTAGACAATGAAAAATGTGATCAGATTACAGACTGCTACAGCTGTACAGCCAACACCAACAGCTGTCAGTGGTGCTCTGACCAGTGCATCCCAGCACACAGCAACTGCACCGAGGAGCAGGTAAATGGAATCTGAATATTCCTTGCTTTAAGTTCCCCCTGTGGAATTGCCAGTGCCCCCCACGTTTTCATCCATCAGTGTTATGATCCCTCTTTTCTTATTCCTCAGCTCTGAAGCGCTACATGCTTGCATTTTTTTCCAGGTTGATCCAAGGGGTTTTTGTGGGATTTTCCCGATGGATTTAGGAGGGCTGTTGTGGGCACAGGGAGGGGCAGAGGTTTCCCTGCTGTGAATCACAAGGGTGTGATTAATTCTTAATCACAGTTTGGGTTTGATACCAGCAGAGCTTCACCTAAAAAATAACCAATCAGCCCTCTTGTGGAAGCTCTAGGGAGGAAAACCTGCCAGGTGGCAGCTTGGGGGAACGTCTGGGATACCCAGCCCTGCAGCTTTTGGGTATAGAAATACCAAAAATATAAATATGTTGCTGTTCCTTTTAGGTCCCTATTACTCTCTATGACAATTGTCCCAAGGATAATCCTGCTTATTACTGTAACAAAAAGACAAGCTGTAAAAGCTGTGCCATGGATCAAAACTGCCAGT